CCTGCCTCACGTCCGCCTTTGACTTTGTTTCCTGCAAGGCAATTACTCAGCTTCGAGAAGGGCGTGAAGATCAACGTTGGTGGAGACTGTCCTGGCATTGTAGGTGCAGAGCATAAGACAATCTCCATGGCGAGTCATTGACATGTCCTTCTGGTCCGAAATCCATGGCGTCCTGTGCAACCTGGCACTAATCTTGATGACATCCGACGCCCTAGATGTGATGTAGTGTGCAGGGCTTCTTTTTCTCTTATACGCTGTAGACAGTGAAGAAGTTCTCCACAAACATTAGCAGAGCATTGCTAGGGCCCTGCCAAGCTTTCACCACATGAACTCGCTGACCTTATTTGGAAGGAGCCACAGCGAATGAATTAGCCAGATGGTGGTACTTCTGGCATGGCCTACTCTTAGCTGGGCATCCGGGGAACCGGAAACGTCAAACTTCTTCTCAGCTTGGGAGACCCTGCTAGAGAAAAAACCTCCGCTGTACTTCGCAGTTCGACACCTACATAGAGTTATCCCCGCCCCACGATGATGCGGTAGACCATCACGGGGGTACTAACGATATGAGCATTGAAAATTCTCAGAAAAGAGTATTCAACCTAATCTGATTGATAGTTTAATTACTTGTGCGTTTTCATAAATAAACAGTTGGCGGTGTAGATGTGCTAGCAATGGATAGAACTCTAATGACATCTGATCTGGCAACCCTCTGAGAAAAGAGCAATGCCGCTTTGCCATCACTTCTCCAAAATGCATGTTTTCAATCAAAAATGTCATACTGTAAAACTCTTACAGATAGTGAGATGGTCGGCATAAAATTCAGCTCAGTATACGGTTTCTTTCACAATTTTGAGCAGGCTGGAAAAACCTTGTAAGGAAGCAAGTTTTTTATACAAAATCAAGTGAAGCAAAGTTTCTAAAAAGGTTTTAGCAAGTATTTAGATGTCTGATAATACTTTTAATTTGCTTCCAAATTGGTGAGTCATGAGATAGGTCAGAGTGTTAACTGTCTTCCGCCTAACTATTACTACTTTTTCAAAGCTCACTGAAGCGATTCAAAGTTTGCTTTGAGCATCAAGGTGCACAGCTATAAACTTGGTAAGAGGTAAGTAATGCTTTTTCCCATTTTGTGGCCAAATCTGTAGCATTTTCTTGTCTTTACTGATTTTCCCTCACGCCTATGTATAAGTGGTTAAAAAGCATCTGAGCAACTCTTCACGGCTTTGTAAAGAAATTGACGAAGGCAGGGAAGGCAGTTCATGAACTTAGAAGCAAAAAATAATGCTTTAGTGATCGATGTTGGTGACTTTATTGGCTCACGTTAATCAAGGTTCAAACCATTTTTTGCTAAAAACGCATTAACCACAATCAGCAATTGATGCTGGGATCCAAAGAAAAGAGTGAATATCATGCAGTTTATCTGTACATTACGATTTATATATCTACAATTTTTGCAGCTTAGCAGATTCCAGAAGGTTTCAAGAGAAGTTACAATCTAGGTAAGATTAACAATCAAGCATAATATTACCACTACAATATATAAGCTAAAATTAAAATATTGTCACAACATCTGCAGCAGATGTTCAATATTGAATAGTCAGGGCTCAGCACGAAGCCTGTGGAAGGCAAGCTGGGTCTCGTTTTTGGGAAGAACAACAAAGGAAAATTTGTACGAATTGTGTACAAAGAATTCTATATTCAACAAGATCCACTTCACGGTCATAACTAACAGACCAACGTTCTTAAACTTGCTTTGAGATCTAAGTGTATTTGCAATAATCCAGTTAGACCTGTTTTTGTAAGCGAATAGGCGATGAACACCACATGGGCAAAGATGCGCAACAAAAAAGTATGCGCAAAATTGTTGAAAACCTAACAGAATTTAAAAAATCGTCATACCTTTTTTATGATGAGGTTCAGGGAGTTCTGCAGAAAAACTAGGTCTTCGATAAGCAAACAAATTTTTGTTCCCTAGAATTTCGCTTTTTTTCTATCATACACTTTTAGGTAGGCTAAAAGGCTCTGATAGCTTAGACAGCCACGAGTACTACGCACTCAAGCTTATCAGGCTGTCCATTAGTTGCAGTCAAAACTTAATACGCTCTATTCTGATTGTAGCAATCTTCAAAGTCAAATTTTAATCGTATTTTTTTTTTTTTGCTTCTGGTTTTCTCT